GGCTGTTCGACCAAAACCCATGCACACAATCACGGATCGGACGCACAGCACTGGCCCTCGTTTGTCGCCAATGAGAAAGTAGCGGGAGGGAGACATTCATCCAGCTCTTCTTCTCAATCATTTGCCCAGACCGCCTGCCGTTTCCCCCAAGGGAGTCTTCCACCGCCGGCGGGGGGTCGGCCTCCGCCCGCTGGGCCGTCAGAACGTCCGAATTCGAGCGCAGGGCGTTGCTGACGTGTACTTGTGTGCATGGGTTTTGGTGCAACAGCCCAGCCATTTTCGGATAGGGGAAAGAAAAACCCGGTATTCCTCCGGGGGGTGAGTAGCGAAGATCGGGTGCACCCGGTGGAAAGGCGGTCAAGGTCGGGTAGGAGTGGGCGTCGGCCAATCAGATGGTGTCATGCGGTCGCCCCCAGCAGCGTCTTGTAGGGGTACCCGATTATGGCCGTGTTTGGACCCGATTTTGGCCACTGCTCTTTTACGTACAACAGGACCGAGCGCGGCTCATTCTTTGTCCCGGGCACCAATCGGCACCAAACCTACGGGGACGTGTACCCCAGTAGTTCTGATGAAGGACGTGGAGCACCATATTGGGTGTAGGGTTCGTAGTTCTCAGAGAATGATCGGAGTGTTCGATGGGATTTTTTCCTTCTGATGATTCCCACAACTCTTATTCTTGGCCACGTTCTTCTGCAGCAAACAGGCAGGAGCACACGCCTCAGAGATTTTTTATGTCCATTGGTGCCCTTGGGTCGAATGGTGCGCGGTGCCTTGTTCTGGTTGACACCTTGTTTTTTTGTTCATCTCCGGACGCGCAGGGAGACCTTCCCCCCGCAATAGGGGGGAGAAGCAAAATTCCTATTCCATTACCGGACGTAAGACTTCTTACGAGTAAATCTCACGCCGTACGCTCCTTTACCTCGTGCGTCCCTTGTATATGGCGTCAGGTCGGACTAACCGCCACAGCTTGGGAGGTTGGAGGAAGTCGCGACGTAACACTTTCATCTTCAGATGGCGGGAGGACGTGGCTACCGGTATCAGAGTGCAACAGTCAATCCAAGCTGGAAAAGGACTGTGATGATTCCAGAATTATCCTTTCGCTGGTGGCGCCGTTGACCTTGTCAATGTTTCCTCTCACCGCCGCGGTTTCGCCCGTAGTACGCTACCTGAATGAAGACAAAAACTTCTACCAGGAAATGGCGCCGCCGATAGCTACCGTCGGAAGCAATTTGCAACCTCTGGTGGAGGTTTTCGAAGCTCAGCCATTCCGTCTAGACGGTGACCATGGTGGTGCACCGAAGAACATTGAAGCTATCATCGTAATTTCAAGAGCGGTGCCGCGACCGACGAAAGTGAGTGCTTTTGTGGACGCGTTGTTGTTGAGTTTGCCGCTTGTGAGGCCATGTGTTGAAAATTCTCGACGTTTCGATATTTTGTCGCAACTGTGCCAATGGTGGCACCCAACGTGGATGCTGTGTGTCTATCATGTTGCCCCCTGTCTCTCGCTTCACGCTTTAGTCCAGGTGGGTTGGTTTTGAGAGTTTTCAACGACCAGTGATTTGGGCAAGAATTAATTGACCTCAACTGTCGATGTTTGTCTCTCTTTTGCAGGGAGAAGGCGATCTCTCATGCGTGATCAACGGCGTTCAAACGCGAGCAGTTTGGCTGTCTTGGGGCATGGTATTGTGCAGGTGCGAGAGGGCGTGTCCGATGTTCGTATTTCCAAGGTCACCTCACAAGAGAGAAAGTTGTTGCGGGCGTTTCTACACCACATCTCCACTGTGTTTGAATTAGTCTTGGACAAAGCGCCTGAAGATTCACGCCACGGCCAGGAGTTCGCTTTCGGAAAGACATCCTGACGCACGAAAAGGGTGGAGATGCTTCTCCCGGCGTGCTAGATCTCGCCAACCCTCAAGGGCACCACTCGGAGCACCTCGCCGCCACATCCACAGTGTTTACCACTCTCCGAGCACGACGTCTTGCTCCCTTGTTTGTCCTACACAGTACTGCACGTGTCAAGGCAAAAAAGGCAACCGTATACATCACATTTGAAGACAAGCGTTTCAGCATGGACTTTTCCTTCCTTCATGCACCTGCACCCCGCCATGTTCGTCTGGGATGGCCAGCTACGGAATCGTTCGGTGCAGTGACGCGCGGATTTTCTCAAAAGGCCGTTGGACTTGAACATGCCGCCGAGATTGGTGTGTCAGACGGTTTGGACGGGGGACCGTTGGAGACGGAGTTGGTCCTGTGCACCATGTTCAAAAACGAGGCGGCGTACTTGGAAGAGTGGCTGGAATATCATCAGCTGCTTGGAGTTTCGCGGGTTAGTTTCAAGAGTGAAAACTCCTCGTGTACACGCGCCTAGCTTTACTTCGCGGTATTGGGAATATTATGCGAATGTTGCACGGCCTACTGAATGCTATTCTGATGGCCTTGTTACAGCTGTCAAACCGGTCATGTCGGCTGGAATGTACGTGCTGTGTCGAATCACACAGGTGTACCTCTACGACAATGGGTCCTCAGACAGGTCAAGGGATCTTCTTAGAAAATTCGAGCGGTCAAAATTTGTCCAGGTTCGCGACTGGCCCTACGATGGAGCGCAAACTGAGGCTTTGAACGACTGTCTATGTCGCTTTCGGCATACGGCAAGGTATGTAGCAAGTAGGACCACAGACGATAGCCTATTTAACGGCCTATTGACGCGGCGTGTCGCCTATCGGTAGTCGAGAGCACCGCGGCAGGGGGTGATGCAAGAACATGAAGAGAGCAAACACAGGCATATATTGTAGAGTACGCACTTTTCGTTCGTTCCGCGCTCCGCAACATTTAGTTTTTGCCTTTTTCTGGTACTGCGTCTCCCACCACCGCGGATTCCAGGCGGCCAAACGACTTGAAATTCACCAGAGCCGTATTGTCGCCCAGGAAATGCACACATCCTCGCCACAGGCGGGCGGAGAAGGGCTGTATTCGCGCTCTTAGCATGCACACAGTATGTAGGGCAGTGACCGTAGCATCATCTGGTGTGGGTGTGTCGCACATTCCGGAGAGAAGGAAAGGCCACAAAAAAGACGAAAAAAGTGCTTACATATTATGTACGAAGAATGCTATGTATTGAATGAATCCAGACAGGAGCAGCGCACGTGAGTGTGTTTTTCAAACATTTAGACATAGATGGATACACGTATGCACACACACAGCCAAACCATCACGCAGTACATACAACACGTACGTATTTTGCACCCACGACGGGGGGGGAAACATATTAAACACAGAGAAACGGACTTACCCCCGCAGCGACCTGGGTGCAGAACTAATTGCTGTCACTATTTGTTCCACGTTCACATCGTTCTATGTTCGGTTCAACGTTCCGACTCCGGGAAGCTGTGCTGCGAGTCGTAGGTGCTTATTTGCTGTGCACCACAGCTTGTGTTTGCCTGTGCCTCACGAAGGGTGAGAGCCAAGGAGGAGAGGTGGAAATATGCAATATGAGCAGCCAAGACCCGAGCATCAGTATAAAACAGCAGCAGCAGCACAGCGGCACAAACTAACAAACAAGCGTGTTGTTCTGGGTTGAAAAGAGAGCAAATGGGACCGACAGACAGACAGGTATCCTCTGCACATCAATCAGCAGCATTTCGAGCCACAACGCCGGCGTCCCACCTCTTGGATTGCTACACTACTTAAATGGCCTACCCGCTTTACGAAGCGGTTCAGACCTCTCTCGCGGGCGTGTTGTTGTTCCTCCAGCGTGCAGCAAGGGCAACCACGGAGTACAGACGTGCGTTTTCGCAACTGCTGTACACGGGTACCTGTGACCAGCAAGGTGTTCTTCGCCCTTCTACCCGCTATTGCTGTGCTGGAAAGAAGGTTACAGCTGCTTCAAAGAACATGCAAGACTCTCAAAGCCGAATAGCCGCCAATAAACAGAAGGGAAAATAACACCCGACCTGTCCTCACTGCTAACGACCAGCCAACACAAAGTATAACTGTTTCTACTACACGGGGGTAGGGAAAATCGGGCTGGCGACTATGATAATAAAGTCCAAGACACGTCTTTGCTCTTACGAGCCTGTTGGCCACATTTTTTCAGGCAGTTCCTCTAAGAGACAGATACGGTCTCTAGAGGTGTCACAGAACGGAAAATGTGAATGAATGAATAAATGATCACTTTGAGTCCGAAGGCCTGAACCACGCACTTTTTTGAGCCTAACGCCCGAGAAACGAGAAATCACTCCATTGGCCGTCCTGCACTACTTTAGAAGCCCTCCGCAAGTTTCAGCTTGAATGGTGCCTTCTGCCTTGATGGTTGGCTGTGTCGGTGACCGGCACTCTCAAGCACGAAACACGAGCATTGTGATGCCGACACCAAATTGCTCCGATTTCGATCAATTTGCGCCTGAAGGTTGCCTGTACTCCACCAAATTCGAGCCCCGTCCAATCTACAGGTGGTTTGACAAGTCCTCCGACGCTGGAATAGCTGTGTGCCTACCAGTTTTGCCTGCCAACAAGAGGTTCGAGCCACACCGCTGCAACCTCCCGACGAGGAAGTATGTTCCCCGCAAAAAAAGAACATACGCGCGCGCGTAGATAGAGGGGTGGGAGAAGCGATTTGCGCAGGCCTGCATGTGTATCTCTCTTCCCGAACAATCTTGCACTCTAGATAGTACGTGCGAAGACATGACACACACGCGATCTATCAGTCCAAGGCATGCGGGTTGTCACAGCTGTTGTTCTCCTATTTGTAGCCTCTTGTTCCACCGCATAACGTCGAGTGGGTTTTAACCCTCCTAGTACTGGAAGCCCAAATGGGGACACTTCGGGGACACAGTGCTCAAATGCCTATTTACCGCACTGTAGTCACCCCAGGCTCCGCTGTGAGCAACGCACGTGAGAACCCTTGGTCTATCACGCTTGGCTCAGGTGGTGAGCTGTGGGTTATGCTGTGTGATGCCTCTCCTGGGTCGCTGACTTGCTGTGCACATCTCCCAAACCGCGTGCCCCCTTGGTCGTGAAACTGTACAGCGCCTGGAAAACTTTGCTGACTTGGCTACAGTATAAAAAGTGTGTTCCCACGTGTTTTGGGGACACTTTTCATACTGAAGCCAAGTCACCCTTTGTCTGGCAAGGAGCTCAGATTCTTCGGAGGGACTGTAGCCCCTCGACCAATGGCTGACAAACATTTTTTCGGCACTTGTTTTTTGCGGGACTGGGTACTAAGAGGGTTAGGTCATGAACGGGGAGGAATGATGCTTCTTTCCTTCTTTCATTTCACATCGATGGATGGAATCTCATATCCATCCAGACTTAAACAATCACCTTCACCACCGCCCCCAACTACGTCATCCTCGACCCCGCACACACACATAGCCTCCTTCGGGAAAAAGAGAAAGGGCTTCAGATGAGGCCGGGGCTACCCCCGGGCTATTATAATCAAACCAGCGCCTGTTGATGTTGTTTTTCTGAATTTTTCTAGGCTGACAACCCGCGGGCTGGATGCATGCCGCTTACCATTTACTGCTGTGTACGTATGTCCCAACTCCAACCTGCACGGTCTGCTTCGCTCTGCACCTTTGCTGACACTGCCGGAAATGATTTGACTGCTGGAAGCAGCAGTACAGTATATGTATACGTTTCTCCAGAAATATCAAAGCTTGCGTGTTCCGAATATTTTTCTGGCTCTGAATCTCATACGTACTTCGCTCTGAATTTATATCATACAGTTGAGGGGGAGATCTTTGTAGTTTTCTTGAGGTGCTTGTATGTACTGGTACGTGACAAGCATTCGTGACGCCGCCGTCGTACGTGCCGAGACACGGCGGCAGAAGAAAACACACAGCAGCAGCGTCAGCACCACCTTCTTCGTTGTTCTATTTTCTGTTCGTCGTGACGCCATCATCGTAAAACAGTCAGCAGCAGCAGCAGCAGCAGTATTCCTACCAAGTGGTATTGATATGTATCCTATCTTCTACGCGTTCGTGACGCCGCATCGTACCGAGATTGGATTCTTTTTGGAGTCTTAAGCAGTACACAGCAGTACCATATCGTACTTTTCCATCCCCGTTCGTGACGCAAGCCACAACCGACCCTTCAAAGAACTCCCGGTCTGCACCGGGCACCTTTGTAGTTCTCAACCCTCGTTTTTTCTTTCTCGCCGGGCAGGTGGATGTCATTCATCGATGTTGACGAATTTATCGACCCTGCGCCAGGCCTGCCAATAAAGAGAAAAATTGATTCCGTGGAAGGGAATCTCCGCCAGTTGGACGCTCATCGATTCGAGTTCGTTGATGGCTATATGTCGGCACGGCGAAAGTAAGCAGGGTCTGTTTGATGACGTTTGTCGTTGGAGGTGTGAGCGCGCGTTTGCTCAGGTGTTGGTGCGGAGTTGGCTTCTACTGATGAGATGCGCTGACGTCAATGGTGGCTACCAAATTTCCATCCTAGCTCGAAAGTCTTCGAAGTTAATTGAAATCTTTGGTGATGAAATGGTCAAAAACTGAAGCTACCATGTGTGATTGAAAAGAAACAACTTTGAAACTTTCCCTGCATGTCAGACGATTGCGACTCCTTTTGGAGCGGTCGATACCGAGGCGACATACACATTGCATGGCGTGGGTCAACTACTGTTCTCGCGGACAAGTGTCGAAGCCGCCAGGTGGAATAATTGAGAATTACCATGAACTTGAGGTGAGCATTGAATGGCAGTCGAAAACAAAACCGTTTGCGCGCTGCATTCTCCACGCGGTCTACGGGTGTCCTCGTAGACTTTGGGTGGTCAATCTGCGAGGTTTCGAATCTTAGCAATCTTGCCGTACCACTTGCATGAACAGATTTGTTTTTACCTGCGATAACAGGCTGGCTCTTGGTTGTTGGTTCACATCTGGCCTGAGTGAGAAAAATTGGAATTCTGCTTAGAAAAGAGCATTGTTGTGATAACACACAGGGAGGGACGGGCAGCTGAACCCTACAATACACCGCAAGAGGAATGTGAAGAATTCCTCCTTTGTGGCCCCAGCTGGTGCGTCAAACGTTTCCCGATCGGTGTAAAGTGGGGCGCAGCTAGGTACGAGAGAAGAGACAATGGTATATTGTTTGCCCTTGTAGCCTCCCCCTCCGCGGCGGAGCTGCGCATTCACACTCCGGGTTCTCGCGGCGCGGGAGAGTGCGGGTCTCCGACACATTTCCGGACCGCCCCGGTGCCCGCCCCCCCCGGCGCCCCCGGCGCCCGCACGGTCGGCGCCCGCACGGTCGGCGCCCAAACGCGCCCCGCACCGGCTGTTTTTACGAGTCGCCGTCCCGAACAGAAAGAGCACCTCTCTTTTCTGGGGGTCATTTTCCTGAGATACAAAAATGCCTTGAGAATCGATGGCATTTTTTTGCGCGGCGGACAATTTTTTCCCTCCCGACACGAGGGAAACCAGGCACAGAGCAGGAGCACAAGCGGCAGCGGAGTGCCAACACCGCGTCGTTGATCGAATGCTAAGAGCGTAGTCATCGGGCTACCTCTGCAGTTTACTGATGATGATGCAACTCTCTCGCGGCCGACGTTGCACATGTTGTTGGGATGGGCGCTGGTTCGGGGAAATCTCATCATACGTAAATGTTGGTTGTTGTCCTTGGCTTCTATCAAGCCCGCCCATGGATAGCTACCAGATCGGCTCATCAATGTGGTGAGGGATCACCTCCCGCTGGTGCTTCTCTTCCTGGAAACGGGGGCACGTCCTCCTCAGCTGGAGCGTGTTGGATGACGAAACACGCGACCCCTTCGAAACGCTTGGCGTGGGATCACAGGGAGGCCTTTTCGCGGCACCGAGGAGCAGCTATAAAGGCCCTCTGCTGCTGCTGCATCACGGCAAGAAGAGTTTCGGCCGGACCAAAACCCTTGAAGAACCCTGCGGCCTGCTTGTGCGATTAATTGACTTGCGTTTCCAAGCGATGCATTGTAGATCCGACACTTTTATCACAGATTCTATAGGAAGTCACTCATGAAAGCATGGACGGCTCTGCGTGATTCCCGCGACCTAATCACGAATAGTGCGCAGTTGCGTCAGGTTGCGGCTGTGGTTTTGGTTTCACTCGCCCACTTTTTGTGGTTCACACATATTGGCAAAGGCAACAAAGCCTCTGCTGTAGTGATTCCTGCAACCTGTCGACATGGGATGGTTGAAGTTCAACCTGGCAATCGTTGGTCTTATACAGAACGCCCAACGAGGAAGGCCGTCGAATTGCGAACACCGTTTGAAATATGGGGAACGAAACATCCCAGGGTGTGCTCAGAGGACGGGCGGCGTGCTTTTCACCACACCTTTCGCGGTGTTTCCTTTTTTCTGTCTGAGGGGTCGTCACACGAGTGGACATTCTGCCCTTCTCTCCGTATATGTGTGCCCCAACGAAGGATATGGGAGAGCCGAAGATCCATATGCAAAAACCGCTTTTCAGGGCGTTGGAATCACTCACACTTCGGAAGATTGGACCGCACTTTTTGCTGTCCGCCACAGAAGATGTCGTCCTGCAGTACCGAAGGTAAAGTTTTACCCAGCCTTGACCTTCGTCTTGGTTTGAGGTTAGACTATTTTGTGTGGACCCGTAACTTCTTGAGGGAACAGTCAGTACTTTCCAGGGCGCAGGTCCTCACGTTCAGCCCGTTAGAACATAGCCGGCATGTGTTGCAACGTCGGCATCTCTGTTAACGTGCCCCGTCCACTTGCGCCCTCTTATCGTACTGCAGAAACTTGAGCTGTCCGTATGAATGGCTGGATCCCGATGCATTCCGTATTCGGCACTACCGCAGCAAGTCGTTGGAGGAGTACGTGCACAGGAGGACCGGTGCAGACTCGGCGTACCGAAACAAGCGATACACGAAGGAACGACTCGCGCTGGAGTGGCAGGAGACTAATGCCCAGTGCGGAAACGGCCGGGTTTGAAGATTGAGGCATCGGAGTTGCCCATAGTGATACACTCGTTCACGAAGAATTCACAACGATTTGTTCTCCTTAACTACCGTAGGTTGCATAAGATACCACACCCGTGTGATAACATTTTCGGGAGGACGAAAGTTATCACATGGGTGTGGTATTCTGTAGGGGGTGTGATATCTTATGTCACCCGTGTGATAAAGTGTACTCACAGAGTCTCACCAACAGGGGGTGTGATAACAAGGGGGTGTGATACCGTCGCCCGTGTGATGAAGCGCGCTCACAGGACCCGGCTTACAGGGGGTGTGATAACTTCGCCCGTGTGATGATACGCGCTCACAGGACCCGGCCTGACGGGGGTGTGATAATGTCGCCCGTGTGGTTGCAGTGCGCCCACAAGACCCTACCGACGGGGGTGTGATAATAATGTCGCTCGAGTGATGCGGTGCGCTTACAGGAGGCACCCACGTACAAAGGGCGTCAAGGGGTGTAAACAGGTGTGATAGCTAGGATGGCTCACACCACTCCATCACGTAAATGCTTTCCCACGTGCATTTTCGCAGTATCCTTTGGAAATTCTTCGCATAGGTACACAAGGAAGACGTAGAACCGACACCTCATAGCGGTTGTGCCGGTGTTGTGTGCGACAAAACGACAGCACACAGGTACCTGGACGACGCAACCACTTGCAAGACTTGCATCCAACACTCAAGCTGGAACCACATAGGACGCAAGCAAGTGCCAGCTACGTATCAACCAAAGCTAGAAACCAAGAGGACAAGCGACTACCGAAACATATGAAACCCAGGACAAATTGGCTCGAATAGCAGCTTTGGTTGACTTGACCATGGCATGCAACTACAGTAGGTAGATACCAGACAAGACACCTCAGTCTATGCAAACAACGTCCGCCCCCGGCAAGTCTGCCATGACCTCAACCTCCGAGTCATCGTTGCCTTCGCCATCTCCCGAGCTGTCATCGTCGTCGATTTCCAACACCTCCAACAAGTCGGCCATCGTCTCCCCCTCCTCCGATGGGCCAGCCTCCTCCACGCCGGCAGCGGCCGCATCGCCGTCTGCACGAAGTGGTTTCCCTTGGGCGTCGGAGTTGAGCTCCTTGTTGGCCCACGCCTCGTCCTCAGATCCATCGAAGGCAAGGGTCATGCCAGCCTTCCTCCAGCTCGAACGGATGCTCTCAGGGTCCACTTCATCCCACGCTTTCTTCACCCACTGCGCGAGCAATCCCCTCGATGGGGGATCCGGGTAGCCGCGGTCGTTGCGCACGGCGTCGGTGGAGGCCATGTGGTCATCGTAGAGCCTGGAAATGTTGGACTTGAACAGCTTGTTGATAAGTCCATCGCAAGGCTGGATCTTGGGCGTTAGGCCTCCGGGGACAAAAAACAGCGTCGTGTTGGACTTATCCATCGCTTCCTTGCACAGGGCTGTCTTGTGCACGGTGTAATCGTCCCACAATAGCAGCGTGTCCGGCTGACGGTAGTTGCCCAGGATCCCCTCGCGACCCGGGCGCTGGTTCCACACTTGGGGGAGCCAAACATCCCTGAAGACGCGCTGCGTGTGCCACGCCTTGTCGTCCACGGCGTACACAACGCTCTGAGGGTATACTACCCCCTTCTTGTCCTTGCCCACCTTGAACTCTCGTTCGATGCTGTTGGCAGCGGGGGTTTTGCCCGGCGCCGTAGGCTTACCCTTGAAGATGAGCAGCGGCGGGAGTTTGCCGCCCTTCATGTTTGCTGCAAGCACGGCAGTGATCCGCAACTTTTCCTTTCCACCGGTTTTGATGGCCACCTCTTTCTGACCGGTGTGCTGCGAACGACAAAAATAAGAAGCAAAAAACAATAGAGAAAGCAGAGGCGACGAAAAAGGTCGATTTTGTACATGAGAATGACAGCTCTTCACGCACAAAGTAACGTATGGGTTTTGCAGTACAGCGATGATGGATGCGAATGGTAAGAAACTTCTAACCCGGCATAAGCACAACACCAACGTCGTCTAGCCTTACTGGCTGGACACTGAGTAGGTACGGCAAGAAATATTGCATCACAATGCCCACTGTTTGCACGGAATGCCAAGAAACGACCAGACAGGCACATGACTCGAAGCAACACTATTGAACTCACCGCCACGGTCGACGTGCCAGCGGGCTCCATCCACACAGCAGTTTCATCCATGCTGTAGCTCTGCTCCTCCTTGAACAACAGGGGTGGCTTCGAAGGCGCACTGCTCGTTGCCCCCCCCATGCTCCGTCCTCCCCCACCGTCGATTCCTCCGTGACGAAGCGCCCTCCATTCCTTGACGGCTTTCATGGCAATCGCAGGCCACCCGGAAGGGAGTTTCTGGCCTTGCCTGGTAACCGCCCGGAATGACAACCGGTTCTTCCTAAGGAACCTCCTGCACCAGTGAGTCTGCTTGTTGCGGTACTTTCTACTGCCCTCCAGGTCGTTCGCTGCAGGCCTCGGGCCGAACCAAAGCGAGTTGAGCGATACCGCCTTGTTCTTGATCATCCTTGTAGAGACGCGGGCAGAGATGGCTTCCGAACGAACATCGTTGATCCAGTCGAGAAGTTCGAGCTCGGCCTCAGCGTTTGACCTAACCCTCCCCGTGTTGAACGACTTCACGCTCCGGGCTTTTTTCTTCCGTTTGGCCCCGAGCTGGTCTGCCTGTTCCAGCTGCTTCTCGTACTTTGTTCTGTCTTTTATCCACGCAGAGAGTGTGATCTTCTCGGGAATCCCAAGCACTCGTTGCGCATACGACACACCGATGGTTCCATTAGGCCCCTGCGCCCCCGGGCTTTGCATGGTCGCGTACTTAATGGCGGTTACTTTGAATTCCAAATCGTACCGCTTGCGTTTCTGGCCACCACCAAACTTAATGGGGCAGTTTGGTGGCTCCAGTTCCAGCGGCTCTCTTTTCCTCTTGCCCTTGCCCTTGCCCTCGGCCGGCGTGCCGTCGAGACGCCCACCGAAACCATCTGTCCACTCCTCTGACTCTCCAGGAAACATGGCGTCACCGACGGGCGCCGCTGCGGCTGCTGTCGTCGGTGCTTCAGGCAGGTGCACGTTCCTGAAAAGCGCATGAGTTCGAGGAAGCAACAAAACATGTAGCATACGTGTCGTTAAGTGCAGTATCTGTAACAATGCGCTCGCTCCAACGACCATCAGGCAAACGTACCAAAAATACGATGGCTAGCGGATAGCTCTGACAACGGCCACCAGGTTGAGAGTCATGGCGTCCACGCATGCAAGGTACAGAGGGTGAGCAGCTGACGGCACCTATTTCGTATCTCACACAAACAGGCACGAACTGCTGTCGAGGTTATGTGTACATATTTGCACGTGTTGGGTATGGGTTTCGCAGTCTTCCTACCGAAACATCACAAACACAAAAAACGGTATGCGGAAACGTGTCGTGTGTGTGACAAACACAATCCAGTAAACATTTCGCCCACACCAGAATATATGAACTACATGTAAATGTAGTGTGTACATGCCAATGTGCAGTGAGGCGAGCGCGACAACACGACGTCAAAATCACATTATTTTTCGATCTGGTTATCGATCAGGCAATCAGGCGTGGCATGTTCTTTGGTTTGCTTGAGCCATGAGAATCCTCACAAACACCCATGTGCTGCAAACTGCAAGACGCTCTGCGCACACCTTATTTTGATGTAGACGTCGCCAGACTTCGCATGCCTGCCGCAAAACTCCGGCATATCCTTCCCTGGCTCTGCCCACAAGGGCTTGTTGGTGCACGATGGTTCTCCGCAGCGCGGTGCTGCTGCAGGATTCTCAGCAGTAGCCGCGCTCAGGGTGTTGGTGGTTGGCGGGAGAGCTGCCTTTTCGGGTGTGGGTGTGGGTGCTGCGGGATTCTCAGCAGTAGGTTCTGCTTCGCAGGTTTCGGCGGCACCCGCGGTGGCAGGCGCAGCCGGTGCTGTGGGAGTCTCAGTAGCAGTAGATTATTTTGAGCGGGCCTCAGCAGTACGTGCGGTGTCATGTGCGGCTGCTGAGGGAGTCGTCCGAGCAGCCCCACGTTCCCCCGGGGCGGGTGGAAAGTAGGACGCTATGGAGCGTGGGGCCGCCGCTGGAGTCTTACCCACTGCAGTCTGAGCCGCGGGGCTTTCAGCAGGGTTCCTAACTGCACCACCCTCCACGACATTGTCCGCCTCCATGGCTCTTGCGAGCAGGTGGTGTGGTCGTGATCTCTGTCCTCACGTTGTCACACCGTGTGATAAGCAGGGGCTCCGTCGATTTAATGCGGCCCAACTTCAGGGGGTGTGGTATCTTATGTCACCGTGTGATAAAATGACGTTTTTTGGGGGGCTGAAAAAAATAGCACACGGGTGTGGTATTGTGTACGTTTTCTGAGGGGGTGTGGTATCTAATGAAAGTGTGATATCTTATGCAACCTACGGTATGCCTTCACCCACGTGGATTGGCCAGAGTGGAACTTCAACTTGGTGGTCCAATAGGCATGCATCATGCACCACACGCTTACAACGAGGACACCAGTTATTTTTTGCGAATCATAGTAGTTTTTTGTTCGGAGCGGCCCATAGGGGTGCTTTTTGTTTTGCAACAAAAAATGTTTAAAGGGATCGTGATGTACCTGTAGCGCTCCAACAAAAAAAAATGGCATAGGGGGCGAGAGAAAATGGACCATGCGTGTCTGTCTGTCTGTTTTCAGCCTCGATCATTACCCAGCAGACTGGAGCCTATTTCACCGTCTAGGCACCAAATTGCATTCTACGACAGACTTGCGCCCAACAATAGCATTTTGCCCAAGTTGTCCCAATAGTTTCCCGCTCAATCCGCGCTCAAGTGCATCGAGTAACGCATGTATGTGTGCGAAACATGTGTATGTATGTGTCGGATTCACCCGTCCCCGAGACCGAGGAGGAGACGTTATATGTTTCGAACCAGGTATTCTCTCTGCCTGCCGCTGCTGATAACCGGTTGGTTGGTAAGATGTCGTCGCAGAGAGATGGGCAAGGG